AATTTAAGAAACAGAGACATAGATTGTAGACTTTGCTTTCTTTTTGTTTTTTTGAGTAAGTTCTCTATGTAGCTCAAGTTGTTGTTGAACTTGTAGCTTTCTTGCATCAGCCTCCCAAGTGCTGGCATTTAGACTTTGATTTTTAAATCTGTTTATAACTCATTGTCTTGCAGAAACCACATTGATAGGAATCTCAAGGTAGGTTTCCAAGCCAGCCAGTTATTCTCTTTACCTATAATTTACCTTAAGTGTAGTGCCACCAATAATATGGGTTCTAACGCAAATGTAAGTTATAGTTCTCTCAGGAAATGTGGCTGGATTCTAGTTAAGAATACCAAGTTAAAAAAAAAAAATAGAAAGAGAATATCAAGTATATACCTCCTGTGGCAGAATAGGGCTTTTTATTTCCACACTTGTAGTCAAAGAGTAGGCCTGGGGTTCCTTTAGCCTCTTCCCTCAGTTCAGGAAGACAGCTATCTTCTTTGTCTAGAGACTGTTACAGAGCTGCCTGAATCTTAAAGACTTTTCCCTCCCCTATCTTACTTTGCCTAAAGCAAACCTTGTGTGGCTTTCTGTGAATTTGTACTCAGACTTGTTAAGAAAAACAAAAGACTCCATTCATCCCCATGCCCTGTCACTATCTCCCTTTCCTATCCTGAAACCAGCTTTTACTTAGGCCAGAGGTTCCTGCCCATGTCCCTCTAGGGTCCAGAAAAAGGTTCAGATTGCTGCAGGCTGAGCCTAAAGATGGCCCTTCACCTAATCCCTACTCCCTTTCTCCTCCATAGATTAGAAAGTCAAACAGACTGTGTCTAAGATTGTAGATACTAGATGGCACAGCCCCAGGAGACAGTTACATTATGTATCCTTGTTCCTTTCTGCGCATACCCAGATCACTAGACAATCACTTTCAGCCTAGGCCATATGGGCCATGTGGCACTAGTTACCCTGCCTTCCTACACTATAAATAAAGAGCATTCTGGATCCCAGGTGGCCATTAACTCACCTGGTCCCAGCTATCAATAATCAATGTATATCAAGAATAATCTTGGTCTCTTTGTCGTCTTTTCTTCATCTCCCACTGCTCTCCCTGGCTTCAGACTCTATGCTCTGTGGATCTCGGCATCAGATGACATGCTCTTTCATGTAATGTCCATTTAATTTATCAGCAAGTTCAGTCAGCTCTACCTCCAACATATATCCCACATCTGTTCAAGTTTTCCCATTTCCATTACTGAATCCTAGAGGTGAGGACCTAGGCAAAGCCCCTGTCATCTTTTGCCTGGAATACAAGAAACACCTAACTTCCTACCTGTGCTGGTCCTCTTAAAATCAGTTCACCAGATAGCTCAGTGGTTGTTTAAAAATGTATATCAGACATTTCCACCTCATTTCCCCCAGAGTTTGTCTTTGGTGAGCTGGAAGTCTGGGATAGTGCCTTACTTAAATGTCTTCTTGTTTCTATTTTTGTTGTTGGTACTGTCCTTGGTTTAGTTCCTGAGTTTATATTTTGATACTGCTTATTGTAGGTATCTTTGTTGATTTTATTTAGAACCCTTATGGAATGATTGCTTCTTAGAGGTGTCTTCCATATATAGCTGGTCTTAAGGTTTTGAGTCTCTAGTGACTTTTGGGTAATCTCATTTTCATTATACCACAAGGATAACTGATTAGATCAATCACAACACCTTAGCCCAATCAGCGATCACAACAGTTTAAAGTACAGCTTAGAAAAATGACAATTTTTGGTAGTTATTAATCTTATCACCTTTAACTGTGTGAATTAAATAAAAATTGAGGACCAGCCCAAAATATGTTTATAGTGAATAAACTCTTCAATATAGCAACTTTACCCTTTGGGATGGGGACTTAGAAGAAGTTGGGGAGGGAGGGATGGATAGGTAGAAGGATAGGGAAGGGTTAGAAGTTAGGCCAGAGGAGACAGGAAGATCATGCAAACTCTAGAAAACTGTTGAAGACAAGAGGAAAAGACAGAGTGAAAAAACAGAAGAACAGAACAACCTATCAGCAATAGGGAAACTAGAAACTGTATTCACGTTCCTTTGAAACTAATGACAATCAGGAGAAGGAAAAAGAGAGAAGAAAAGAAAAAGAAGAAATCCAAATGAGGGCAGGAACAGGAACAAAAAGGAAGATGAAGAACAATGTGGGAGAGCAAGAAAGAGAAAGAAAAGGGCTGGGGATTTAGCTCAGTGGTTCCGGCGCCTGCCTCAAAAGCGCAAGGTCCCGAGTTCGATCTCCGATGCCAAAAAAAAAGAAAGAAAGAAAGAGGAAGAAAAAAAATTGAAAAGAATAGAAAAAAATAACGACTAAAAATTAAAAACTAAGAGAAAAAAATAATTTTGAAAATAAAAATGAAGGGCCTCCTTTAGGGTATGTCTCTGTTGTCATAATAGGCAACGTAGGTAGCATTGTGCAGATCTAAGTCAATTAGTCTCAGCAAGCCAGCTGCAGACCCCTGAGATTCAGGCTGATTTCTCACTGCAAGGCCCAAGTTGAGCTCCCTGACCTCCTGCAGGGTTGAACTCTTGCAAGGTTCTACTGCAGGTTCCAGTTGCCCTTCCCCTGAAGATAGTCCAGGTTCAGATGGGAGGTGGTGATCCTTCCAACTTACCAATTATGGTGGTCTGGTGTGCCTTTATTGCAGAGATTCTCCACTTTTCCAGTCGGCTACAATTTTCATCAAGAAGCCTGAGAGGGCCCTCTTTCTGTTGTTCACTTCTGGTCTATCTTCTGGAGCTCAGGATAATGGCCTTTATGACCCCCTGTGCCTCTGGGGTGTGGATCAGCCATGAAGAATGAGAAACTAGAGACATTTATAGCTAAGTGGATGCACATTGAGGCCATACTCTAAAGTGAAATAAAAAGGACACATGTGTAAATACCAAATAATTTCTCTGGTGTGAAAAACTAAAAGTATAAAGAAGGATCAAAATGTATAATTGGTATTGTGAAATAAGAAGAAAATGTCTAAAGGAATAGAGGAAGTGCAAGGGGTAGGGGAAAGAGAAGAAGGGGAAAGAAAAAATACAAGAAAAGGAAAAAAATGTAAACAAAGTCTTTGTAAATAGGGAAGGGAGGAAGGGATGAAGGGAGGGCAGGCGAATGGGGAAAAAAGAAGAATCAAGATACATCATATAAAAGTATAGGATCCCAATGATGAATGTTACTGGTACTGTATACCTAAAATGTACCAATAAACTTAATGAAAAAAAAAAATCTCATGACAAAAAAAAAAAAGTGTATATCAGGTCATGTCATTTACTTGTTTAAAATGATCCAGGAACTTCTTACTGCACTTAGAATGAAACACTAATCCTTTACTTTGACCAGAAGATCCTACATACCTACCTACCTTTGTCTCACTTTGTATCCCTCTTCTTGGTACCTGCTGTGCTCTGACTACAGCTCCTCAAGCCCATCCTTGGGCCACTGAACTAGTAGTACCTGTGTCTTTTCCCCAGCACTCCTTCGTCCTAGAGCTCATGTCTGGCTTCTCATTTCATTCATGTCTTACCTCAAAGATGTGTCCTTAGGGAGGCATTCTCCGACCATCCAGTTTTAGTACCCACTTTACAAACAGTCTCTAATGTAATGTTCTGCTCTTTTTTTCTTACCAACTCTTACTACTCTGGTTTTATTTCTTCTCATAGTTATTCTTGTCTCTTGTATTAGAATTTATGTACCAGTGTTCACTTGTATAATCTAAGTATCTAGAAAATGCCTGGCACATCAGAGCTAACTCAATAAATATTTGATGAGTGAATAAATGAAGACCTTGCATTCCCATATCTACTTTTTTTTATCAGTTAATTTATTCATACATACATAGTGGTATGGAAAAGAAGTAGAAGACAGTTGTCACCATCCAGAAAAATGATGTGGTGCTAGCAGGAAGGAAGATAGAAATACAAAAGTAAAAATAACATAGCAGCCAGCAAGAAGGTGTAAACACTGGGTCTCACTAGACCATTGTCAGGTATGTAGTTGTGAAGCTTTCTTCTCTGATAATATTTGAAATGTACCATCTAACAACAAGTTTGAAAGTGATATGTAAAAATCACCTGCTATTTTTTTCTCTGATCCTATTTCTTCATCAGATTTTCCTAATCTGATACTAATTTTCATATAGGAAAACCACATATCAGATATTCTAGAAAAATGGAATTTTATTATGTATAACAATCCCTGTTAGCTGGTAGATATTAAGCTAATAAATGAAAGTGGAAAATGATTAAATCATTAAAAAGGACTCATGCATTCCTTAATTATTTTGTTTTACTTTGAAACATGTGTTCATTCACCAATCTTCCCATTAATGAGGAAGCTTTTCTGTAAAGGGTCAGAGAGTAAATATGTCTGTCTTTTTCAGGCCATGTGGTTTCTGCTGTGACTACCCAGCTCTACCCTTGTAAAGGAAAAGCAGCCATCAACTTAATTTACAGAACCAATTACAAACTTAATTTACAAACTGTGCTGGATTTGGCCTACAGACCATGATGTAGGAGTTTTCCTTGTGTAAATCACTCATAGTCCATTGTCTGCATCTTCTACCTAGGCTGCTTTGAAGTGAAATGAGAACTTACCCTTTCATCAAGTAGTCTTAGGCCTTCCTGTGTTTTTTCAGACTTTTTCCTGGTTTTTTATAGTTGTCCTCGCAAACCTCTGTTGAGTCTGTCCATGCATTCAGCTTAGGTTTTTGTAGAAAGAATTCTGTCCCTATGCGGTAGGTATTTATATAATGATGGTAATAAGTAAAACTCCGTATAAATAAATTTGATGTCAAACACAAGCAAGTCTCATTGAGAGTGCGGCACAGCTGGGAGAGCTGAGGTACACAGAGAGGACTGTAGGGCAGTAGCTGTGACCAGCCAGCGTGTTGTAAGCACCATGAATGGACCCAGCAGAGAGCAGTTAAGAAAGTTTCTATTATATTTATTTTGTGAAAGGTTTTGTTTGTTGGTTTGTTTTTCTTTCAGGGAACTGATAGAAATGCTGGCAATTTCAAGAAACCAAAAGTTGTCACAGGCTGGGGAGGAAAACCAGGTAAGTGGTTTGGTTTTTAATTAAAATAACCAAAACCCAGGTGGGGCTAGTGGCACATACAGTACTAGGAGTCCTAGTACTCTGCGGAGCTGTGGTAGGAGGATCACAAGTTGGAGCCCAGCCTGGGCAACTTCGCATGATCCTGTCTAAAGATAAAAAAAGAAAAAGGACTTAGGGTATAGCTCAGTGTGAAAACTAGATTTAATCCTCAGTACTATAAAAGCAAACAAAAGGGCCAGGGATTTAGCTGAGTGGTTCCACTGCCTGCCTCGAAAGCACAAGGTCTCGAGTTCAATCCCCAAATTAAAAATAAAAGAAAAACCTCAATAATTTCTGGAAGTTTCCTAAAGGTATTACCTGAAAGTAAATTTTCTATATCACTTACGTAGGATAACAGTGTGCTTCAGGAAATAGTTTTCTAAGGGTTTAGCTATATTTTATTATTTCTTCTTATAGTTCTAGTCATAGTTACACATTTATTCATTTTTGTCTTCTGAATGAACCAATGAAGTCTTGGTAAATAAAGATTAAAATAGTGTGTTGAATTAAAAGTTAATATTCTTATAAACTTAGCCCTTTATTGTAGGTTTGGTTTCCCTAGTTCAACTTGAAAACAAATGGAAATAAAAGAGCACTGTTAATAGAAGTTCTCTTAATGGGTATCAGATTTACAGGTACTTTTTATTTTCCTTATACTTTCCTGTTCTGTTTAATTTTGTTCTGTGAACAGGTTTTTTTTTTCCCTGACTCAGAAAAATTTTAAAGACATTTAAATGATAAACATTATATTAAATGCTTTTACCATAATTTTTAAAAAGAGAAAATGAGCCAGGCATGATGGTGCTCATGCGTAGTACCAGCACTCAGGAAGTTGAGGCAGGAGGATCATGGTGAGTTTGAGGCCAGCCTGGGCTACATAGTGAGTTCAAGGCCACCCTGAGCTATATGGGGGCGGGGGGGACAGAAGATGAACTGGGAAGGTTAAACTTTTTAATAAAAAAAAACTAGACAAGAAGACAATACATAGTAGACTTCCCTATCATCTACCTCATTATATTAGTTTTCTCTTGGTGTATATTTTGAGAGCACAGAAATCTGATCAACTGAATAGAGAATTCTTAGAGTCTTGTTAAATTGCCCAGGCTGAGCTTGAATTTGTAATCTACCTGCCTCTGTTCTAGGATTACAGATGTGTACCACCATGCTTGACAGCTTTATTAACAAAGATTAGGAATAATATTTTGGAGGTGTTAAAATTTTATAGCCTAGCCAATTCGTGTATGAATTCTTTTGTCTCGTTGGAATGTGGTCTCTCAATATTCTGGTTTCTGACTTAGTCAACTATTATCTGACAGGTCCTTGAGTTGTTAATTCACCGAGATGGGGAATTTCAGGAACTAATGAAATTGGCACTTAATCAGGGAAAAATCCATCATGAAATGCAAGTTTTAGAAAAAGAAGTAGAGAAGAGAGACAGTGATATTCAGCAACTACAGAAACAGCTAAAGGAAGCAGAACAAATACTGGTAAGTTGATTCCTTCCTAAGGGGAAGAAGAATAGTATTCAAACTTTCTGAAAAATAAACCTATTACCACTATTTTGAAGAGCAGAAAACTAGACTTCTGTGTCTAAAAGGGACATTCTGTCAGCAGTTTTTTAAAATTTTTATTAGTATTTAGTAGATAATGATGACATTCATCATGGAGATAACACACTATATATGGAAATAACACATGTACATAATACACCTTAATTCTTTTTACTTCCTCTTTACCTTCCTCCCCTCTTTCTCCATCTCTTGGGATATATTCAGTAGTAAATGAAAAGCCATTGCTTTTTCACATTTTATTTTCAGATAGCCTATATTACTTTTAAACTACATTTCCATATTTAATGATTTCACAATATTGAATTTTAGAAATGTTTGCTTTTATCTTGATGTAATACAGGTTTTAATTATTAGTGGTCTGAATCTTCAGGTTTGAAATCATAAAAAATGTACTAATTTCATAAATTGATTAAAATTTACATTATTTATTTGTTATTCCATCTTAAACCAGGTGGGATTAAGATACACGTTAGGGAACCTAGTTTTTTTTTTTGTTCTTGGTTACTATTTCAGAGGCAATTTATTAGCCATTATTGGCCTAGTTATTTTACTAAATACTAACTGCTAGGTGATCTGAGAGACAGAAACAGCTGAGTTTGTTTTTCTTATGAGCCGACATTTCTGACATCTTATCTCTAATGAACCTCTTCAAAATGTGCCAGAATGGGCTCTAATAAATGGGAGGCTAATGGTTCAAAATAACTTAGCAACTCTTTACTGGGAAAACAATATCAAGTAAATGCTTTCCAAAAACTATGTTTATATTAAAAATTTTTTTAATGAAAGTAATATTTGCCTATCAAAGGGAAATTCAGAAAATACAGAAAAGTAGAAAGGAGAAGGAAAAATGACCTTTAGTTCTAGTGCTCATACAATGCCAATATTTACAGTTTGGTCTTTTTGTTTTTTAAGCCTCAGGAGAATGTATTTTTTTAACCTTACTGTAATCTAGAAGAATACAAGTAGGCTTTTTTATTGTTGTTGTTATTATTTTTGGTTTTTTCCTTTTTTTTTTTTTTGGGATCAAACTCTGGTCCTTGTGCTTGCGAGGCAAGCAGCAGAACCACTGAGCTAAATCCCTAGCCCCCTCTTGTAGACTTTTAATTATTATTTAATTTTTAAAACATTTTCCATATAATTATATTTTCTTCCAAGTTTGTATTATAAATAATGTTTGGATAAATATCTTTGCAGATAAAATTTTTTTCTTCTGTGTTTTGGATTGTAATCTTCAGATTTCCAAAAGAGTGAACACAAGGACCATTAGAAGGAAATTTGTTATTAGATACTACCTTTATATGCATTATCGCAGTCTTCATAACAGTTTTTGTAAAGTCAATGCCATTAGTAATGTGAAGAAACCAAGACTTAAATGAATAGCTAAATTTCTTATGGAAACTACAAAATAGATAGAAATTAAACCTAGATCTCTCTGACTTCATATTCTTAACTATTCAAGAATGTTTCTTTTACTAGAAAAACATTATTTTGTATACTTTATCCTTGAACTAGATACAAGAATAGGATGCTTTTAAGTGATAAATGGTCTGGATCTCTTCTGCATATTGTGACAAAAAATTAGTGAATTTATAGTTTATAAACAACTATTTGTGAGTGTGATACTGGTGCATAAATATAATATTTCTTTCATTAAATATAACTGATACAAATGATACTACCCAAGTAGTATATCAGACCATTAGAGATAAATTGGGAAATTTCCAAGTTCTGTAAATTGTTCTTGAGGATAAATGTTAATTAAGCCAAAAGCTATGCTTGATGTGTGTAACAATAAATTATGTATTTACATATATATATATATTTTTAATGTTGTTTAAATTAGGCAACAGCTGTTTACCAAGCAAAAGAGAAACTCAAGTCAATAGAAAAAGCAAGAAAAGGTTAGTACCATGGAAAAACTGGAAAAACTTCTGAAAAACCTAAGTACTTATTTCAAGAAGCTCATAAGAATATTACTGGTAATCCTTTTCTGCTGTTGAAAAGAGTCCAGTAAATTTTCATTGTGAATGTGTTCTGTGTTAGTATTGTAGTAGGCATCCCTAGGGATGTAGCAGTATCACACCCTTTTCAGGTTATAAGAAGCAATAATAGAAGCCAATTGTGTTTATGTGCTTGAGTGTACAAGAGAATGGTTTATAAAAGTTATTGGGAGAAAGAAAAAGAAATGAGATTTGAATTGGCTCTTGAAGGCTAGGATAGAATGAAAGAGAACGTGCATTGGACAACTAAACAGGGGAAAGAACATCATAAAATCAGTACTAGAAATACTTTGGGATATTGAGCACATTGAGAAGTGCAGAGGCTCAGCATACCTGCCTGTCTGGCTCTTCCTTTTTAAAAGGCTTACATCATGATCTTACTGGGTCTTTCAGTTTGCAAACCAAAAGTGGAATTGTAATTAAAAAGTGATTTGTAGATTTGAATTACTTTTAATCATCTCGAATTAATTGTTTAATTTTCTTTCCTCTTTCCTGTTTCTTTAGGAACCTACTTTTTGATTGTTACATGTGAAAAATAGCTAATATCCTCTGAGAGATGAACTTGGCTTCTGGAGCAGTAAATAGGTCTCTAGGAGAGATGACTGAGGCTGGCTATTTGAAATCTAAAGCAATTTTTGTTTTGTTATTAGCCCTCAAATATTTTATACTCTTATACACAGTATTTTGTTACATCGAGACAAATCCAAAGAAAAATCAATTATTAAAAAAAATCTCACATCTCAGAGGCAACTACTACTGTTTGATATATGTCCTTCTAGATTTTTTTCTAGATTTGAGAATATGTATATAATAAAAATACCCATGTGTACATATATAAGTCATGGTATACATATCCAACAGCTTTTTTTACCTAATGAATACATTGTATACATCTTGAGGTCTGTTTAGATCCTAGGCCATGTTAATCACACAGAATAGATTTGATGTCATAACTTGATTTCATAACTTGGATGTCATTAGGAAGTGGAACACGATTTTCTTTGTTTTACTTACTATTGCTTTCTGAAGAGTAATGGTGTTTAATGGTAGTTATTGATTGAGATTATTGAGCAGCATACTAGTTTCCCAAATAATGTTTCTTTATTTCAGCTGATTTTGCTGAATGAGTGTCATCTTTAGTTTAGAAATATATACAGTTTAGGTTTACAATATATATGGAGGTATTGTTGGGGAAGGTAAGTGGCTGAGATTATTCTATTTTCAGATCATTTAAAATTAGCTGTGTGTAGTGGTACAATCCTATAATGCTAGCACTCTGGAGACTGAGAGAAGAGGATCTCTAGTTCAAGGCCAGCCTAAATTACATAGAGAAACCCTGTATCAAAGGAAAACCAAACCAAACAAATAAATAAAATTAAGTGTACTATGTAACTATGATGCATGCACTTCTAAACTTATATGTTTATTCAACTAAACACTGTTCCCTTAACTCTCTCAGGTGCTATCTCCTCTGAAGAAATAATTAAGTATGCACATAGGATTAGTGCAAGTAATGCTGTGTGTGCCCCACTGACCTGGGTTCCAGGTAAAAATACTTCTCTTTGATATGTAGTTTTGAAAATTCTTAGGTTTCTGTATACAAAAATAGATTCAAATATAGAATATATATTTTAGAAACATCTGCTAATAAAGATATTTTCACAACTTTAATGTCATGAGCGATGATATATGCCATGGTTTTTATAAATTTGGTTTTCTACAAAGCCAGTGGCACTAAGGACTATGTTTATTTCCTTTTTTTAATACAAAAAGTTATCAATTTTAGCTGGGGATTTAGCTCTGGTTCCGCCACTTGCCTTGCAAGCACAAGGTCCTGAGTTCGATCCCTGGCGCGCACGCACACACACACACACCCGCAAAAAAAAGTTATCAATTTTAAAAGGTTTAAGTTAATATGTAATACATCTAAAACAGTAGGTTTATGTCTTCAAAACCCCAGCTGGCCAGAAGCCAGCTTTTAGAGCCATTAGGATTTCCACAAATGAAGGAACCTGAGAAGCACACAGTCCCAGTGCTCTTAGGTGCTAAATTTAGACAAAGTGCTTGGCACCCAACAGCAAATACACAGGCCTAGGAAGAGCTGGGAGGATTAGAAATAGCAAAGTGAGAAACGATCTACCAACTGTATTCACAGTGACTAAAAGACAGGAAACCTAAAGTGGAGCAGTAGCCTATTGGGAGGAATGAGAGAATTATCTCAACTCCCATCACTCCTGAAGGTGGATTTTACTATCGCTAAAAGTACTAAGGAGAACTACGGTTTTGGAGGTGAGTAATCTGGAGCTGGTGAGAAACATTACCATAAAGTTGGTCCAAACCTGGCCATTTTTTATCAGCCCCAAACTGCTATTTAGTTTGTTTTCATGATGGGAATGAGAACACCTGCTCCTAATATCCACTGGAAATTTACAGGAATTTACCTTTTGACAAGATCAAAAAGGTTGGTTAGAAAAAGGTTTTAATCTAGATAACTCTTTCAATAAACATTCCATTCCTTTCTATCTTATGTGTCCTGATCTTTGTTATTTTTCTTACTAAAAGAATGGAATTGAGTTAGAAGAATTGAAATCATAATTTTCTCAAATTGTCATTTGAAATGTTTGCTAAATAACTATCTCCTCTCATCTTAGATAATAGTGTATTCTTGAGACGTTTGAGAATAAAAGTACCTTTATTTTTTAAATTAATACATTATGCTTTTAATAACAATTGATAAGATGAGCTACATATTCCAAAATTTAAAATGTAGAGTTTTTCAGTGTGCACCAAAGAAAATTAGTACTTCGAAGAACATTGATGTTTTTTGTTATTGTTAAATATGATTGACCTAAAAGCAGTCTTTATGGTTTAGGAGACCCACGAAGACCGTACCCAACTGATTTAGAGATGAGAAGTGGGTTGCTGGGTCAGATGAACAATCCTTCCACGAATGGTGTGAATGGTCATTTACCAGGGGATGCCCTTGCAGCCGGTAGACTACCAGGTAATATTAATCAGAAGAATGTTTCCAATCAGACCAAGGTTTTGATGACCAAGCGGAGATGACAGTGATGGGCTTTTGGGCTTAAAACATTTGAAATTCCAGAGCCAACTCATCTTAATAGCTAGGTTCTTTGCCAGTATACCTTGCTTTCTGGTTACTCTATTTAAAGACTTCCAGATGGAGGTTATGAAATTAGGTAAAACTGCTTTTATCTTCCTGACTTACTAATATTCTCCCATATTCCTCAGGCATTGGGCTTCTCCCATGCATTTTTTTTTTTCTGCTTTAAACCCTGCATTTATACAGTTGTGAAGCATGCTATATAAATAAAATAATTAATGTTAGGCCAGGGATTTAGCTCAGTGGTGCCTCCGCCTGCCTTGCAAGCACAAGGTCCTGATTTCAGTCCTGGTTCAAAAAAATAAATAAATAACGTGTATTTTGCAGGTAATTTATTTTGTTATGGTAGGACATCAGAACATCTGTAAGATACATACAAGGAAGAAATTACACTTTTTTGAGGCAGTAACTAAATATTTTAGCTTATTTTCTTTTTACTCTTTGTATTTTTACATTGTTAAAAATATGCTGTATATTTTGCTTGACATTACATGTTAAGGATGTCCTTATGTTATTAAAGAATGCTTTGTACGCATCATTTGTCTTAGCTACCTAAATTTACAAACTGGGAGTCTCAGTGTGCACATACATTAATTTCCTTCAATACTCCTCATCTTTTTCATTATGATTGTACTGAATTATATGCCATCCTCAATCTAATCATTAGACAAACCGTACCAGTAATTTGAACAGGAAAATTGAAATAATTATTAACTAGTAACAATGTACTTACTAAGGGATAAAAACTATTTTTTTTTAAGTACAGGAATAATGGATATGGAGAGCTGCTACTACACCTAGGCAGAGGCAAGGGACCCAAGGTGAGGACAGACTAGAAAGGGGCCCTTCTCACCCCATCCCAAACCTGATATATGGGGTAGCCATGGCAACTCTGTGTCAGAGAAGATGAGGTATCAGAGGCCAGTGCTGGCAAGCAGGAAATTGTGCACTGGGGTTCTAGGGAGACTTACTAGACAGCCACCCTTTAGGATTATAGTGAAATTGACTAGGAAACCATTCTCAGGGATGCTACAGATGTTCCTGAGAGGAGAACCAATTGATGATTTGCATACCATCTAGCCCTTCAGGAGTGAATGCAAAAAACACCTGAGCCAGGAAATGAAGGCCATCCCCCTGCAGGCTCCCATCAGTGCCTTCTACTGATAAAAGCTTGACATTGTGGAAGCTGGTGGAGGAGACATGGTTTCAGGGTCCAAGAAGAAGGGTAGATTTGAACCAACTTGCACTTCTATCTGGTTAATACTATAACTCTTTAGAAATCTGCCTTCTCTTAGTCTGGAACTTTTTTATATGATAGTTTTTATCATATATTACTAGTCAACTTGTCTTAGAATCACGTATAGTAGCATATACGTACTTTACAAAAGAAAACTTGTCAAGAGACTATGTGAAAGTTTCTTAGGGTAGTATAGTTTTATATATATATGTATAAAATCTTGCTAAAATATTATACTTTTCATTCATTGATCTTATTATAATCTTTCTTAATTTGGCCAAATGAATATTTTTATTTCTAGCCTTAAAAAAACTTACTTTGAGGGCTGCAGATGTATCCCAGTGATAAAATACATGCTTCGCATGTATGAACTCCTTTGATCCCCAGGACCACAAAAAAATTTTTTTACTTCAAATTATTTATAAAAAGGAAAGAATAATTAAGTAGATTACTTAGAAAGAGAACTATTCTCATATATGCTTCTTTGTTTTCTCCAGATGTCCTTGCTCCACAGTATCCATGGCAGTCAAATGATATGTCAATGAATATGTTACCACCAAACCACAGTAATGACTTTTTGTTGGAACCTCCTGGGCATAATAAAGAAAATGAAGATGATGTAGAGGTTATGTCAACGGATTCCTCAAGCAGTAGTAGTGACTCTGATTAAAAAACATGTGAGACAGCCTACAAAACTGAAGACCATAGAATTCTGTTTCTTACACAGTAGCAAGGAGGCGTAAACTGCAAAGGCATAAGGAGTAGCCACATAAATATTAGCTGTGATGGAATTGTGCAGCCCCAAACCATGGTGTGTGTTTTGTTTTTTTAAATCCACCAGGCAAATGTTTGGGGATTAGTCAAAATTTATTCAGTAGTTCAGTGCTTTTCTGCTCTGTTCTGTTCCTGCTGTGATATATTTGTGCATAGTTATGAAAACAAGATTTGAAGGAAATGACCCCTGCACATATCATTAATAGGGTTCCAGGAATTATTTTTTTTAAACATTTTTTAAGACAGGGCAGTGGATTACTGAATATGTGTCATATTTCAGAATAAAAACTCTCATTTGAAAGTGAAGTCTCTTGGCTTTTGTTGCAGGAACAGAAGAACCTATCTCAGTTTGTATTATTTGTAATTATTGTAATTTTTGTAAATAAATTTGCTCCTGTTTGAGTATTCTTTTTTAATTTAATTATACCTTTAGTGCAAGTAGGACATTATTTCTGTAAACCATTTGCATTTTATAATCCTTAAATAGAATTCTGGAGTGAGAATGCATGTGCTGTAATGAGTATATCTGAACTAGTAATCACAGCTAACAGGTTTCTCAGTAGCCCACACTCTTATTCTTTTTTTTAAAAAGTTTTAAAATAATTGAATAAAAGGTATGTCTGCTTTTAAGAATTAATTATCTGAAAGATTTTAGAAGAGAAAGCAATCACCTGTTTCCCTCACACATTCCTTTTCTCTTTTTTTTTAAATACCTGCCTCAGCCTTCCGAGTGCTAGCATTGCAGGCATGAGCCACCACACCTGTTTCCTCCAGTTTTTTCCCTCTTCTCACTGTAGTTTCTGAGAATGAATCACATTTAACTCTGGTACTTTCATTTTTAAATAGTATGTGTGTACAGTATTTCTTCATTTATCAATTTTAGACTATCACTTTTTTTCCCTTATTGTACACATGATATATCCATTTTGAAACATTTAGGAAATACATTAAAAGCACAAAGAAAATTAAAAATTTTAACATTCTACATGGAGTTAATACCAGTTAACATTTCAATATAGATTCTTTTTAAAAATCCACATGTATAATTTTAAAAATTTTCCTAAGATTCTGCTATATTTTTTAATTGTTATCTCTTTGAAATGAGTTGAGAATTCCATTTTTCTCTTGTTTTTCCCTTTTGATTATCTTTGATCTTTAGAAAAGTTAGAAGTTAATATTTAAAGAAATTAATCTTACAACAATGCATAGAATTAAAGGCATTTAGTATTTCAATGTCTTCTAGGTTTATATTTGTGAATGGAGAATATAATATCTAATTTAAAAACCTTGCCCTGTCCATACAATACTAGGAATATTTTTCCACATGGGTACATTCTTTGAAAGATTTAACTTAATGACTAACATTCCATTATGTGGATGTGCTTTACTGTATCAGGTTTTTTATTATTGGATACTTAAATTTTTTTTTTTTTTTTTTCCGTACTGGCGATTGAACTCGGGACCTTGAGCTTGTGAGGCAGGTGCTGGAACCACCGAGCTAAATCCCCGGCCCTTTTCTTATTTTTTTATTGTAACATTTGTGTGCAAACTTACTGCAAAATGTTTAGGATAGATTCAGAAAGAATATGTGGTTTTTCAAGTTATTCAATATTGTATTAGTTTTGAGTTGCTGCTAGAACAAATTATGATAGACTTGTTGGCTTAAAACAACATTAATTTATCCTACAATTTTGTAGGTCCATAGCCCAAAATGGGTTTCACCAGGTTAAATTCAAGGTGTGGTCGGGGTTGCTTTCTTGGAAGCTCTGGCAGAGAATGTTTCCTTCCTTTTCTTATGTTTTAGAGATTGGCTTAGTTCCGTGTCTCTGGGCTCCTAGTTTTTAAATTCATATTGCATCACTGACATTCTGTTGCCCACATTTTCCAGGTTAAAAATCCTTGTGGGCCCAGGCTGATCTCCTTCAGTGTGCCCCCTCTAGCTGTCAAGCTGGAGCCCTCCTTGCTCTCGTTTGTTAAGTAAGGGCTGGCCTGATCTTGTCAGCTCCTTAAGCCCAAGTCTTAGGATTTTTCATCTCCCAATTTTCACTTCTTTGTTAGGGGCTGGTCTGATCTTTGTCAGCAACTCGAGCTAAAGTCTTAGCATTTTCTCTTTCTAATTAAACCTCTTTCCTGTTTAAAAAAAAAAAAAAGGAGTCCTTTTGATCATACCAGGCCCATTAGATATCCTAGGCTAATCTTTTTATGTTAAAATCAATGGGTTAGGGACTATTCTATTTGCTACTGTGTTGCTAAACTATGATGTTCAGTAGGTTGGGTATATTAAATACATTTTTCATGTACAATATTTCAAATTATGGTGGGTTTACTAGGATATAACATTACTAAGTCCAGGAGCATCTGTCTTTACAGTAGTCAAAATGTGAAAGCTGGTATGGTGTTACACACTTGTAAACCCAGCACTTGGGAAGCTAAGGCCAGCCTGGGCTGCATAGTGAGACCCTGTCTCAAAGAAAAAAAAGAGTGGTAGGGGCAACCCAAGTGTCCCTTGATGGATGAATGGATAAAATGTGGTTTACAGATACAATGGAATATTAGGCTAAAAAGAAAAATTCCAGGGCCAGGGATTTAGCTCAGTGGTTCTGGCACTTGCCTTGTAAGTGCAAGGTCCCAAGTTCGATCCCCAGTACCAAAAAAAAAAAAAAAAGAATTCTGAAACAAGAAGCTATGAATGAAACTTAAGAACAATACAGAAATAAAATCATTAACAAAAAGACAGATGCTGTATGATTTCACTTGTATGAGATACTGGAGTAGTCATATTTATAGAGACAAAATGAAAAGCTGGTTACCAGGGCCTGGGGGAAGTGAAAGTGGGCAGTTAGCACTTAATGGGTATGGAGTTTCAACATGGAAAAATGAGAAATATTTGGCAGATGGATGTTGATGATTACACAATAGTGCTATAATAAAGATAATTGTTGGCTAGATCTGGAGAAATTGGAACCCTCATACATTGCTATGAAATGGAGCAGTCACTTTGATAAACCTTTTGGCCAGTCCTCAAAAATTAAACAGTTAAAAACTATATGTCCCAACAATTCCATTCTTAGGTATGTGTCCAAGAGAACTGAAAATATGTCTACAAAAACTTGGACACAAGTGGTATTAGAAACAGTATTCATAGTAGAAAGTAAAAACAACCTAGTTGTCCAACTGATAAATGGATATATGAAATATGGTATATTCATAGAACAGTATTTAGCTGTAAGAAGGAATGAAATATTTATACTGAGCCGGGGATTTAGCTCAGTGGTGCCGCATCTGCCTTGAAAGTACAGGGTCCTTGCAAGTGCAAGTTCAATCCCCAGTACCAAAAAACATATTTATACATCTTACAACATGGATAAACCTAGAGAACATTAGGTTAAGTGAAAGAAGCAAGATATACACAGCCACATGTGATTTGATTTAATGAAATGTCCAGTGTAGACAAGTTTTTAGAGCTAGAAAGTAGATTAGTGATTTTGAGAATGAGAGGGATGGGTGCGTGGGGAGTGATGCTAATAGGTGATAGGTTTTCTTTGGATTCAGTGAAAAAATTTTAAAATTAGCCAGTCCTTGAATAATTCTGAATATACTTAATCCTGCTGAACTTTATACTTTAAAAAGTTTTAATGCTGTTTGCATCATATTAATATTGGGGGAAGGAGATGCCAGGCTGTCTTGAACAATGGAGAGAGAGAGCGAGACTAACGGGTGAGGTTTATGTGGGGCGGTGCAGTGGGGAGAGTATCGTAAGTGTTGAGAATTGGTTGGGTTGTTGGCCAGGCAACAGGACATTGGGTGATTGGAAGGGGAGGATCACATGCGTAGCAGGATGGAGCAACAAATTAGATTTTGCTTCTCCAGAAGGGGTAGGTTTCACTTTTCAAAGTGGCTTATTTCCGTAAGCAGGAACTATTTTAGGAACAGGAGCCATTTTAGAATGTAGGACTGTTGGAGCCGTTTTGTCTGGGAGAGAACTCTATCATTCCAGACTCTTGTTATTATGGAATAGGGGTGAAAGTCTCTCTGTAGCTGCTTCCTGCTGGCAAAGGGGCATTGTTAAGTGGGGGCTTTAGACGGCCGAGGCATGGTCTCCGTAGGTGGAACCAGCATCAGTAGCGAGGGGCTGGTAGCTGGCCATGACAAGTTCGTTGACCATCTGGTTGGTAAAGGCCTGTGTGTGTTCCTGTAAGAAATTCTGAAAACAGCAAAACAGACAGAGTCCGAAAAGCATGATTATGGAGAGGATGGTGAGGGGGTCCTAGGAAAGGAAGAAGCCATGGAACCCACTGGTCAAAATTGTAGGGAGCAATGCTACATAATTTTAGGGAAAAATCATTTGATTAGGCCTAGTTCTCCTGCCTACAGGCCAGCTGTGGCATTTCGAGACATAATTCCGTTTTGGCCTCCGGTCACCACTGAGACCTCAATGATCCGGTGATGCTGTGATGCTCCAGGACAAGATTACACCAGCTGAAGACATCCTGGGAGGAACAAAATCTTCATCTACTCAGTTCCTCATTGTTCTTGGATTTCCACAGCCTCCCAGTCATTTGTTAAACTTTGTTTATCCCGCTGTACTGAACTCTCTGGAAGTCAATTGTTACACTTTATTTATTCCCATGTACTCAACTCTCTGCAAGTCATTTGTTACATTAGTTTCTCCCGATGTACTGAATAAAAGGTGTGGCAAACTCAGGGCTTTCATCTTTGCTGCCCAGAGCAGCATTGATCAGGCCCAAAGCTCAGTTTCTTCTCCAAATCTCATTTTTTCTACCTTTACTGTATAATAAGTTAATTTGCCTTGTGCTGCCGTAGCTCACAGGAGACTAGGACTCACTGCAGAGGTTCTAGTAACGTCCCCTTTCCCTGCTCCCTACACAAAGTATCCTGACAAAGGATGTTGATGTTCTAGATCTCGCCTGCGCTTTTCTATGTATTCCCTCAATTCTCTAACACTTTTGCCTATGATGTCTGACTGATTTACAAAGTAACAACATTTTTCTCCTAGCAAGAGACAGGTCCCCCCTCTCTGCTGTGATTATATCCAGAGCCTGCCTGTTTTGAAGTACCACGACTTGCGGTAAATTGATCTGTGATTGTAGGGTGACCAAGGAATCTGCCACCTTTTCCATATCCTCATTTAGCTCCTGAGATAGGGAGTAATAGAAGTGTGTTGATGTTGAGGCAGGTGGCAGAACCACTGAGCTAAATCCCTGGCTGAAGTGTGTTGATGTTGAAATTCCCACAACCCCTGTGCCTATTCCTACTAGAACTCCAGCTCCCATTAGCAAAGGGAC